TATTTTGTTGCTTGCTACTAAGGGTATATTAGATTTGGAAACACATTTTCTTATTATTATGTAGCAATGAAGGGATTGTCAAATGCTAATAAAGCTCAGGCTTTAACTTAATGCTTAGCATGTTTAAATATTGCAACAAATTTTAGTTTGTGATTACAAGCTATCAAACAGTACTTTGAAGAGAAAGAATTGGTTTTCAGCATATTTTCAACGATTTTGAAAAATTTTAGAACATCAAATAGTCACATTTTTTCAAAGCACTTCAAAGCTAATAAATTTATCCAAATTAGGGTATCCTAACTTCATTTTTCCTAAATAAATTGCACTCCCTTTGTGTTTTTGTATCCCTTTCAGGGCATATATGCACGTAAACCTTAACTTTATTTACGTGCTTGATTAGAAGTGGGGAGCTAGACCAGCCCGTTGGGGTCTTTCAGTTTTGTGTTGTTTAGCGACGCTATCAATCTGATGTTCCCACATGCCCCACAGCCCCAGGCCACTGCCACGCCCCTCGATTGGCCCCAAAACACCCGCCCTAAAGCCGTGTTAATACCCTTTGGCGTCACTGTTATGAGTCGAGTGTGGGCAGGTTTTCCTTATCATTGTGCAAGCGAAAACTTAATTGAACGGCATTTGACATAGTTAAAGGCGATGGCACCATAAACATCGGATTGGATGGAAAATTGACTTTGTTGCCGTTCGGAAAATTAGTTTCATTGGTGAATTACGCATCATTTGGCGACGATGTTACACTTCGTGTGACATCGAAACCCAGAAATAAGCTCAGGGCATAAAGCTACGCCAGATTATGCTGCATGCCGAGAAAGAGATGACTCCCAATCCCGTGTCCCAACTCCCACCTCCCCGAATCCCGGTTTCCTCACCAAGCCAAATGTCACGCCAAACCATGCAACGCCAACAAATGCAACAACTGCATCGGTTCAGCTGCTTTCCACTGATTGCGAAAATCATGCCGACAAGAAAAAACTCTGAAGGCCTTGGTAGTAGACTTTGGGATACCCCTTCTTCACTTCGGGCTGTATAGAAACTATTTGTAACATGGCATATTTCATTAGGGATACTTAGTATCTCACGGAGGTTACGTCGCCTAGATTTTACACAAAGCTTGATTTAAAAACTTTTCTATACAGGTACTTATACTTGTCGAGATACCCTGTATAAAAAGAGTTGCCAGAATGTGGCATGTGACAGGGCGCAGAAGAAGAGGTTGAGCTCCCTCCAACATCCAAGTGCTCCCACTTCTGCAGCTGCATCTGCAACCAACTGCAGTCGCCGGGTTTCGAAAGCTTTGCAATTTGCAATCCACAGCAGCAGGGACCAGCATCTCCCATCCAGAGTGGAATTTTGTCAATGCATCTGGATGTGGCTTAGGGTTATCAGAGTCACGGAGCGGGAAGAGCGGGGGATTGAGTTATGAGTCGCAGCAGTGAAGTAAATTAGAGAAGGCAACGAAGGAGTTGTGAATATATCCAGCCAAAGGATCAGCTGCCGAGCTCGCTGTGGGCAATAGATATAGATACATGCATGCTGCAACCGGAATTAGGTAGTCAAAGGTTCATCCGGTTCAAAAGGAGCTGAGCCGATGGACGAGCCAACTTGATGACTAGCCCGGATTTTATGGGGTTATCTTCGCAGCTTAACCTAAAGGAGAAACCACTTCAGCAGGAAAAGGAGTTTATGTTTTACAGGATAATGCTTTCAGCAGGAGTAGAACATTCAGGACGTTAGAACAGCTGCACAGAACACTTACTGCGATTAGAAAGTGCAATTCAGCAAGCTTAATCCTAGGAATTGTACAACAATTTGTGCAAAATATGTTAAACTTTATATAAAGACTTTAAACACACACACGCCTATGGTTTTGGCTCATCCGCTGTGGCATTGTCATAATTTAGCTCACCTATAATTTGATTTATTTTCGATCATAAATTAAATACCTTCGTGCGCAACTGTGCAGCTACATGTTCATTCGGATTACATTTGGCACATTTGCAGTTGGTGCACGAGCCTAATGGTAATTAATTAGGCATTTAATTTAATTATGAGTGCAAATTGCACACAGGTCACAGCATCCGCTAATTTCTGGTTACATGCAATGCAAGTGATTACGGCTCGGCAAACGTTTAGTTCATCGCTGTGGGGCTTTAAAATGTAAACCAAAACTTCCACAATTTCAATACATCATTTACACCTGTGTGCTTTGTTCAAATTCAAAATTCTGAGGGGGGAGGCTGTTCCGCATTGACGTGAATGATATGAATTTCAATTTGCGGAAAGGAAACTCATGGATGGCGATTCCATTATGTACATCCCCGATTCCGTATGTACTCATTCCAAGTGACAAACTTGGGCAATTTCCGCTCCACGGAAATGTGCACAATTTAATTTTGGCCTGCGGTGGCAGGGGTTTGCTCATTTTTCCCCGTTTTTTCTTCAAGAACATCTTTTGGCCTAGCCGAGCAGAAGCTTAGTTAATATCTCCATCTGTGTATCTCTCCGCGGAGTTGATAATTTTCCGCTTGAGTGTGTTGCAGACTTCCCCAAGTTGCTGCTGCTTTTAATTAGAATTAGCAAGTCGCTTGTCGTGGCCACAAAAATGGTATGTACTCACACATGACTGGCTTTCAGTTTGGACCCCAAAGCGAGCCAAGAAGTTTCCATATCCAGCACGCCCTTTCTTGGCTCAAGATAATTTTTCTGCCGTGAAAACATAAATTCAAGATGTTTTTATTACCACGCACATTCACGCACGTTTTCCTCCTCTTCTCCTTTAGCCCCCGAGGAAACTCTGCATGCCCAAAATTTTCTCGGAAAATTAACAACACTCGTGGCTTTGATTTATCGCGATAAGCGGATGTTGTTGTTTGCCGATGCTCCCCATTGTTTGTGGGGCGTGGGGCGGTGGGTGGCGCTGCTGAGATTTTGATTTTGTCAGGGCCCATATATATGCAGATTGATTTTCGGGCTTTAATTAAGTTATCTAGTTTGGCATTTTGATAAATGCTCTCGACGCTTCGTTACGGCGGGTAATTGAAAGTGAAGGCTAAATGATTTTGGCCATTAGGAAGGCGCAACCTTCTAACCTTCTGTCAAGGGAATACGGAAACTTAAAACTGAAATTTCATTTTACCCATATAACTGGTTGAATAAGGTAGATACTGTTGATTATTAGTATAATCTTAATTTGCTTACTGAAATACTAATAAATATGAGATAATGGGAAGATGTGATGCCACCCACTCCAACAGCCTCGAATTCGGGGCACTATTTAAGCACCCGCTAAGAAGACAGACCCATAAATTAATTAAGAGTCGGAAACAGATAAAAATATGGTGTAAAGAAGGCGGAGCGGCCGACAAAAAAGAAAAGAAAAAGATATGAAGAGAGGCAGACAAACAAATTACACATGCGACTGGTGGCCGCGACAGTTTGGCTGACAATAATTAAAGCAACTGCACACAGCCGCCAATAACAACAACAAACAGCTGCACGCAGACACCAGCAACATCCTCAAACATCCGCCCTCTGTCCTCGGAACACAGATGATCTATATATGGATGTGGATGCACCTACATACGTATACTACATGTGCAGTTTGAAGGGCGGCAGGCGGATGCGGCACGCAGGCATCATGCAACTCCATGCGGCAATTATGTGAATGCAGCGCACACAAATTGAAAAAGTAAACCGACTGAATCCGCAGACAGTGTGCCCTCTTTAAAAGGAACTTATTTAGAGCTGTAGTGTAAAGTAACCAGTCTTATGAACAGCATATTATTGTGAAGCTCCAATCAGTTAATACTTTAGACTTACTCATCCATTTATAATGAAAAGTATTTCTGAAAACGTCACACTTAAACCAAATGCATTAATAGTGCACTGGTTTCAGTCTCACACAATACAAATTTATATTTATTTAAGTATGGAAGTAACACTGTTGAGTAAAACGAATAATTTTCTGAAATTTCTTCGTATTCTTCAAGCTCTTGGTAACCATAATCTTTGTACATGACAACCACGCAGACCAACACCCTAGCCGGCTTTAATTGTTAAACAAATATGCATAAAAAACAAGAGAGAGCACAATTAAAGGCCAAACATTTACTTGGTTTTATTACTGCTGACCTCCGAGGTCGTCAGTTACTTTATCTTTTTTTGGGGCAAAGTTGGGTGAATTCTTGTGTGAGGTGGAGAAGTGTGAGAGGGTTACATATATATAAGCTCATGAGATGACCGCCACTTAAATTGTTTTCTTAGCCATGCAAGTGGGAAAGTTTTTGAACGAAAAATGTTCTCATCCAATTAGCGAAGATAATTGCAGTTGTCAGAAAAGAGCAGAACAAATTTTTGAAATTAAAGGCGGTATAATTTTTATATTATTAAAGAAAATAAAGACCATGCGAAAAAATGTTCGTGCTTTTTTAGTAGAAGAAAGCCAAAGTGGCAATTTTTGTAAATTTTCTTCATTTTAAGCATTTTTTTATATTATTTACGTAACTTTGCTCAGCTATTGAAAACTGCTTTCAAGTCAAAGCTACAATAATAGCCCAATTATTTATGAGAGCCTCTTTGTTATGTAAAGAAATTTCTGTTTTTATTATGCAAATATTTGGCATATTTGTGGGCCTAAATTGAACGATACAAAACGCTCAAGTTTCCGTTTGTCTAGCGCATAACAAATAATTCCCCTAGTTAAGCCACTTAAATGCTTTTAAAGTGATTTTACCTAAGCAGTCTAGAGTGTTGCACAACTTTGGCTAGGCAAAAACAATAAAAGCCAAGCCGAAGTCATATGTCAATAGGCTAATTAAAGGGGACAGCAGCGATCTGTTGATTGTTTGTAACAAATGTATCTCAAACATTGTGCTTTCAGTTCAATTGCAATCTGGTTCGGCTTGCCATCTAAAGTTCAATAGCACAGCACCATAAATGTACACGTGATTAATCGATGCCATTTTTGTTTCTCTATCTCCTTGCAGTTAACCCCGAAAACAGATCTTGAAATTATGGTAAGTTAATAACCCTAATTGGACAACAACTTTACATGGGAATTAGCAGTGCACGGAGCATGTCCCATGGGTGAAATAAATCATAATTTATGCTAGGAAAAAAGAAAATTGTATACTCTTCGCAGTGCATAATTTATGCACAACTTTTTAAACTGGAATTGTGCGGTTTTTCGGGCGAGGCTGCCGCTTCGAGCGCTTAATGCGGAATGAGTAATGTTAAAATGTAACCAGGACAATGGCAGCCAAGATTGCGCCAAAGGGAGTTGCCACCGAATCTCCATCGCCGTCTTCCGGCCATCTCCCCCCTCATGCAATTTATATTCGACACTTGGCCCGCCTGTTGCGAACTGGGTCAAAACATGTGAAGAGCACCACTTGCTCCTGTTGTCGTAGTCGTGCCAGTGGATTTTATCATCCTATTCCGGCTCGGGCTTAAAATTGTCCACGGGCTGGCTGCCCCTTGACTCTTACAACCCAAGCCCTGTTCGTTTGATTGAATTTCAAATTTCAATTTTAATACTTCGGCCGGAGCAGGAGTCGTAAAGTTTGGCGTTGATTTCGGACTCTTTCCGGGTCATTTGTGCCGGAAAGCTTAGCCCCAGCTCAGGCTCAATTAGTTTGATGGCGTTTCGTTTTTGGTTGCTGGCGTGGGGCCGGCCGAAAGTTTTCATTAATGTAAAACACTTTACGCACTCATTAGAGTCATTTGTTTGTGACATCTCTATCTCGCATTCCGTTGCCCGGTCCGGTCTGTGGATGATAAATGTGTCCATAATGCGGCCTAATTGCGGCATCATTAGAGGCGCCTTTCGGCCCTGATTGCCACTCCTGCGAGCATACTCGAACTGGATTGGCACACTGAGAGAAAGTACACTACTTGCCAAATGGGGGGTAATGGTGATTTTTATGTGAAGCTAATGTTTGAGAGCAACTTCTATCTATTGCCGTAAAACTGCATCACATATTTCTGTACCATGTTTGGATGTCCAGTCAACTTTTTTCCCGAAGTGTTGGGCAGCAAATTGAGCACTTGAAGTGGACAGACGGACTTGACTTAAGCACACATATTTCGGGAGACAAGAGATGGGGCTCGGATATTGGCATTGGTATCCAGGCGGCTGTCATGTTGGATTGGCAACAAAGCAAATCAAATTTAATGATAAACTCAAATGGAAGCACATGTCTTTTCCGCCCGAGATGATATCTGCCATCTATGCCATCCCCCCACCTATCTCGCTCTCCAGAATCGGGTCTTTATATCCGTGTTGGCGTAAACAACGACGGGGCACATAGGAATGACTAATTTAATGCGTCGAGTTTGGCGTTGTGTGACGTTACGTATACGCACCGTGAGCCCCGGGACCTTTTGGCATTTTGCAAAGTTAACGAAGCGAACGAAGCAAACAAGACCAGACATATACAAAGGCAACAACAACAACAAGGACGAGAAGGGGAAACTGTGGCCATAATATACTGAATTTTATTTATAGCATAATTTCAGGTGTCGCGCACACACGACAAAGTGTTGAAAAAGATGCTCAAATTAAAGAACTTAACTTGGCTTAACTTAGTTTAGCTGTAAAATTTCGGTTTTATTTCGCGTCTCTTCAATTTGACTTTTAGTCCATCCTTTGTGTGTATAAAAGGAGCTGGTCGGTGGGAAACTTTAAGGCCTTTCACCTGCTTCGGATCCAATTCCAAATGAAAGTTTTGGAGTAGTTTGATCAGGGCAACCTTAATTACCAACTTGGCAAAGTTCTGTCCTGTAATTAGGATAAGAAAATATTGTTTGAATATTTCTAGGATAGTTTGCACCGCAGTTTGAACATACCCACGCACTGGGATCCGCCAATGCCAAATCCAATAAAAACATTGCTCGTTGTCCTATCTTCACATTGGTCCACATCATTGCCAGTTTGCAGATACCGAAGTGGCTTGTATTTCATTGGCTCACTGAAATACTTTTCATCTCTGTGCATGGCTAGTAAAGGCACCATCAAAGTCTTTCCCTCATCAATTGTGCATTTTGAGTTGGGAAGCGAATAGGTTTTGCGGCAAACACGTTCAATAATGGGTAGAGGCGGATACTTGCGAAGAGTTTCTGTAAAATTATTAGAAGGATCAAAAATAGCTCAAATCTCTGATTGAGAAATGAAGAATAACATACCCTTTAAGCACATATCCATGTACTTAAGACCATTCAGCTCTTCGAATTCAAGCTGACCATTTTTATTGCTCAGTTCCACTATTTCAGCTCGAAGTTTTTCCACTATTAGAGGTTCTTGCAGGATTTCCAAGAGAGTGAAGGTTAAAGTTGAAGCCACTGCATCTAGGGACACTTTTAAGAGATCCTCGGCCACTTTGGCCAAGCGTTTGACGGACAACAGTTTGTCTGCATCTAGAAATGACGAATCAGTACTGGTTTTCACAGATAAAACTCAAAAACTTGCCATTAATCGGGTCCAGCTGCCATTTATCGCCACCAACCTCGTTGCCATTTCTAAACCTGACTAGTAATTGTAGAATATCTTTGCGTATCAGTCCATGATCTTCACGTAGTTCTACGCTTTGCTTAATGAGATCTCGTAAGCGGTAGGTATATGAGGATTTCTGCGGCAGTCGGCCCAAAGTGCTGAAGGTAGGATTGTAATGTAGGTAAGCTGTAGTGGGAATTCCCATTATGTATACTTACAAAGATTGTATAGAGGCCTGACTGTGGCTCAGGTAGCTGGTCAAGATATGGTCCTTGTGCTCAAAGTTGTTAATGTCCAAGCCGTAAATCAGATTGGCAATTATGTTGACGGAATAACTAAGAGATGAATTATTATTAACTTTATACAAGGGGAGAACACTCCGTCCGCTTCTTACACTCTGAGTTCTTGCTGGAGATCCACTTCCAAGAGGCCTCCTTGAACTTCCCCGTCCAGCAGATGCTGAATGAAATGATCCCCCACTTTCTGGACCTGGCCAAACATCTCCGACAATCGTTTGGCACTAAACATGGGCGCCAGTTTCTCCAGCAGATTGAACCTGCGATAGCCCGCGACATAGTCCCATTTCAGTTCGCTGAAGTGTCCATTCGATTGCTGCAGAATCGTTTGGGCCAGCTCGACATTTCGCACCAGTAGGACAGGCCTGAAGAAGCAGTAGATGCCCAAGAGCCGATCCTTGCCCGACTGGTAGGCCTCACAGATGGCCTCCACGTGTCGGAACTCCCGCCTGTATGCCTTTTGCAGGAAACTCCACGTGATCCCGGCCTTTTCCGAGGGAAATCCCCTCCTTCGCCAGTGGCTGTAAATGTGCCGAACCGAGAGGAATACCGCCGAATATAGCAGAATAGGCAACAGCAGCCACATTGTGTCGATGATGTTGCGACTTCGGAGTGCCCTGACAGACTGGTGCCTGCGATCTGGAAAACTAAAGCCGATTCTGAGGACGTCTGCCCCGCTGCAGATAATTACTGCGAGTTGGCAGGCCCTGTGCGGATGATAACGATAATGATAATGATATTGATAATGATGAAGATGCCAAACGAAATCGAGAGTCGCGATCGACTCACCGCTCTTCTCGTCTGGCAACTGGTAACTGGCAACTGGCAACTGCAAGTCAATCTGGTCTGACCAAAATAACGAAACCGAAATTCAAACAGAATCGGGAGGAAAAAATCGAACAAAAAAATTCCGGGCATACTATCACATTCGGCTTCAGTTATCTCCCTGTTTCTCTTTATGGCTGTTCTGAGCGGCCTGATAGTAATTTATACAGCCCCTGGGCTGTAGCATGTTATTATCAAAGTCTGGAGCAAGTTTTTGTGCCCAAAAAATACCCATCAAGCGGAGGTACCGATTAGGCTTAAAGTCAACATGAGCATTTTTAAAATTCTAAGAAAGATTCGAGACAAGGTACTGCATTGTAAAATAATTCAGGAAATGAAATGTTGATGCCTTTCAATACTCATCAAATTAATAGGCACTAACTAGTCCATACTACTTAGTTGTGGGCATTATATTGTTCCTAAGTTGAAGATGCAGCAATCTGCATACTTTTTCCATTTTATGTTCCCATCTGACAAATGTAGTCTTATTTATTGTGTTTGTTGATAAGAATATTTACTATTTTAAATCGCAGCGTCATCGGCTTCGCTTCAATGGATTTCGATGGGAAACACTATCAATGAATCTCAGGGCATTGATTTCCATTGTGGTTAAGCATCTCCGGGTAGAACAAAATGTGAACACTTGACAACAGATTTTCAAGAATGGGTAACTGATTAACAAAATCTGAGGTATACGAGTGCTTAATTAATATGTGTATTATTCCAAGTGTTTTTAGATATTTGAATCCATAACAAGCCATGGTTAATAAAAAGGAAATAGTCAATCATAGAAAGCCCACAAGCTCACCGCTCCCATTGACTCACTTCCCTTCATTTATTGTTTTGTAATTTAAGACTTCAGTTACCACTTGGGAGCCAGGCTTTCATAACGATTGGTGTGTCAATCACTAATGCCATTACGCATAACGCAGTCTCTCTTTTTGCCATGGCTATATCGAGCAATTAGAGTTTTAGCCAGATTGCCTCGAAAGTGTCAGTTTCAATGCCCAACCAAGTGAATCAAGGCAATTTGCCATCATCCACTTCACTCCTCGGCGACAAGGGGAAGTTGTTAATCACGCCCATTGCATGCCAAAGTTGAAAAAAATGTAAATTGTGTAAAAGGGTAGCAAAAAAGAGGCTAAAATGCACTGCAGTTGTTGCTGCTGTTGCTGCTGCTGCTGTTGTCGCACCGGAGGCAATTTTCCACAGCAATGGCGAAAAAGGGGATCCTACAGGTAACCACTTGTTGCTGCTCCACATAATTGACGGGGCCTGTGGGAATTTGATTTAAATGAGCCCGTGTATCTGCTTGCATAAATATTTATGCATCCTACCCGAAGTCGTTCTACACAATTTCCCACAACTATGTTGCAGTTTGGGTCACAAGTTCATTGGGTGGGCA